TTAATTTATAAATTAGGCACAATGAGAGATTAATAACAATAACTAATAATAAAATAGAATAATTATAACAATACACTGTGATAAAAAATTACGTGCATGTGCTCTCTCTTTTGGCTACTAAGTGACTGACAGGCAGGTAGCATACACAGTGTGGATATGTGGGACAAAGGGATGATTCAGTACCCTGGCAGCACAGAGTGGGATGGCGAGACACTTCATCATGCTACTCAGAATGGCATGCGATTTATGAATTGTTTATTTCTGAAATTTTCCATTTAATATTCTCAGACTGTGGTTGACCTCAGGTAACTGAAACCTCGAAAAGTGAAACCATAGATAAGGGGGACAACTATGATATTCTCATCATTCTGTGACTTGCTTCTGGTTCAAGGAAGGGCCATATAAGAAACTTTTGAAGAAGATTTAGACTATGGTCAGTTTGGTTGGATAGGATGTGTAACAGAACAGGTTAAAACCCTATTCCCAATAAACAGCATATCTAGCACGTTGTTCTGCAGATTTTATATTTTCCTTGAAAAAACCTTTGGTTTATAATCATTCATGTTAAAACTTTGATTCCAGATGGACATTTCCAAATATGTCATCTATATAAATTCTTAAAATACAGCTATAGCCTGGTGTGGTGGCACATGCCTATAGTCCTAGATACTCAGGAGGCTAAGGCAGGAGGATCATTTGAGCCCAGGTGTTCAAGTCCAGCCTAGGCAACATATCAAGATCGCATCTCCAAAAAAAAAGTATTACTCTGACCTCTCTTTCCTTCTCCTAGCAAATGAATTATTTATAATTCTTTTTATAAAGAGATAATCAGCTAAAGAGCTTTCTTAAAGGTGGCAAAACTAAAAAGGAAATTAGTTTTATGATTTCAAAGAATTAGCTGACTATTCATTTATTATAATGTTTTCAGACTACTTTAGAATTCTCAAAGGAAGAATAATAGTCCAGTATAGTGCTGTAACATTTTCTTTATGGACATAGTAAGCCATCTAATCTTGACAGACTCGATTGCTTTTGATTTCCTGCCATGGATATCCATCACAGACATAGCAGTTGTGATTAATAGCATTTTGTCCACTAACCAAAAGCATTTATTATACAGTATACCTAGAAAATATTCTAAAGTGGAGAATAACCTTAAAGTTTTAAAAAACTTTAACAACTGAAAAATCAGTATTTGTTGAGTAGAGAGGGCTATAAAGGTACTTTCAGGAAAGTTGGAAAATAAATTTTTAGATTTTCATTAATTTTAAGGAGAAAGTGGAAGAATAAACCTTAAAGAGATCTATGGGAAATTTTTTTTCTCATTTTAAGATGAAAATTATACCTGGAATTTATTTATCAATATATATGTACAAGACATGTAGATCAGTCTCTTAAATAGATCATTGTATTAACACGTTTTATTAGTTAAAAAGATACCCTCCCCTTCTTCATTTATTTTCTACCATTGAGATAAAAATTCGAGAATGGTGGTGGCAGCAATGCAGAGGGAGTACTATAGACTTAGAAAAACGGTGGTATCCAAAAATAGATTCTGTCCCAATAATTACAGGGAGTCACATTTCCTCCCATCATATCCAGACCCATTCGCTAAAAACGAAACCGAGAAGAGAGGTGATGTGCTGACAGATTAGATACTTGGAGTATTCTTGCAAAAATTATCAGCCTAGAAAAATTTGCCAGATGGATCTATGTGGAAAAGGCTAAACGAAATTGAATTATCACTGTATGGAGCATTCCATTCATTCATTAATTAGTTCAATTATGCATTCATTTATTCAATCAACAAATATTTATTGAGTTTAAACAACCAGAAAGGCACCAGGTTAAGCAAATCAGACATGACCCCTGCCCTTGTAGGGGGCATTTGTTGAGAATAAACAATGTAAACTATGACCAGGTGCGATACGCACTTTACATCAACTCTGTGAGGTGGATTTTTTTTTTTTTTTTTTATCATTTCTCCTTTTATGTATGAGGAAGCTGAGCATCACAGCAGTTAAACAGGTTGCTCAAAGTCACACAAATAGTAACTGGCAGAGTTAGGCTTCCAAACCCGCCTTGTTGTCTCCAAAGTCCACTACACTATGGCAGCTGTAATCTAGCAGGAAAGAGAGAAACATACACAATTACTAATGATATAGATCTGTAAAAATTGCTATGAGAGAGGATATGTGACTTGCCAGGGGAGCACAAAGAAGGGAGCTATTCACTCTGTTTGTCTCTGTTACCTCTGAGAAGGCTTCACAGAAGCTGGCATTTGAGCTAGGCCTTGAAGGTAAATGGGGAAGAGCATTTTAGGTAGACACGGCCAAGTGCACTGCTGGTCGAAGAAACAGCTTATGGTCCCAGAGCTATAAGCAATGTTTCTCACACTTGTATTCAAACCATAGTTTTGAATTTTAGAATATTTGGCAGCATCCTTGAACAATGCCATGGTTAACAATCATCACAATACAATGAGTCTATTATGGGGTTCACTTTATGGGCTTTGGAGTTAGGATACTGGGCTTTGAATCTAGGAATCTAGGCTCTGCCACTTAACGATTTGTGGGAACTTTGGAAAATCATTTAAGCCTGTTTAGTCAAATGGTGATAATCATCATGGGCTATTTTAAGGAGAATATGAGTTGATAGACGTAAATTGCTTAGCTTAGTGTATACCATATAATATACACTCAGCAAGTTGGTTGTTATGAATAGTACACTATAATATCTCAGGGTATCCATTAATATAAGAGCATTCAGTTATTGCAGGATTCTCTTGGTTGCCCTTTTGCACTGTGGCATTGTTTGAATAGAACTGTCCTTATAGCACTAAGCTTTCCTATATACTCAGAAGGCACAGTTTCAGCAACAGTCTCTTTCCCACTGGCTTACCGTTTTGTTGGGCCTCTTATCTTCTACTCTCAATGAATAGAATCACCTTCTATGCTGCATTGCAGGACCCACTTGGCTTAAGGTACAATTTGGCAGATATTGTGCATGTTTAGGTACAGCAAAAATATATTTTCCTACTCATCATTTTGGTGGCATATATTTGAAGGGGTAAACAGTTTGCCTTGGCACACTGTACAGAGTGGTGGGGAGCACAAAGGAAGTGGGGGGGAGTGGTCGGAGAAGTCAGTTTGTGGTTAGACTGGAAAGGAGTTTGAACATGCTGAAGAGTTTGGTCTAGATCTTGTAGAAAATGGGCAGCCATGGGGGAAAAAAACAAAAGTAGGAGAGCAGCACAATGATATTTGGATTTTAGGAAGACAACTAGTACATTATGAGGGATTGCTTTGTGTATTCTTTGCCTGACAAACTCTATTCATCCTTCAAAACTCAGTGCCTTTGGGAAGGTTTTTTGATTTTGATGTCCTTTGATCATAATAATATATCACAATTATAATAATAATAATTTTGGGGGGTCTCACTCTGTCACCCAGGCTGGAGTGCAGTGGCCTCATCATAGCCTGCTACAGCCTCAAACTCCTTGGCTCAAGTGATCCTCCTGCCTCAGCTTCCCGAGTAGCTGGGACTACAGGTGTGTTCTACCATGTTCAGCTAATTTTTCTACTTTTTATAGAGATGAAGTCTTGCTCTTGCTCAGGCTGGTCTCAAACTCCTAGCCTCAAGCAATCCTCCCATCTCAGCCTCCCAAAGTGCTAGGATTACAGGCATGAGCCACCGCAGCTGGCCTGTGTATCATAATTATTGACTTTAATTGGCTGTCTCCTCCACCAGGTAGTAAACTCCTTGAGGTCGGGGACTACATCTTATCTTTTGTATCCCCAACATCTGGTACAGTATTTGCACATAGCATGTTCTCAATAAATATCTGTGGAATTAGTTGAGCAATTAATAAACTAACAGAAGGACCTAAGGCAAGGAAACTATAACATTAATAGTTGTAAGATTATTAGTGTAATAATCCATTAGCATTACATCTACCATTATATCCATAACTCTCATCATATTGACTGTTTTACAAAAGCTGGTAAAAATTGATAATAGTTTGTTTTTAACCTTTTATTTCTAATCCCTTCCTAAAATGAAATAAAATGAAAATTAAACTCCAAAAGTACCAATGAAGTTGACTTTTAATGATTTTTAATTCATGGCAAATTAGGCCTTTTCCCCCTATAAAATCCTTATATAAATATACAGTACATAATATCCTGAAGAGAGAAGAAAATGCTGACTAATTATTTCTAATCATCTAATTTGTTTGAAGAAATCATCAGTAGTCCACGAAGTGAATTAATGTGATCAACACACTTAAATGCACTGTTCTGCAATTTATGTAGAATTCCTGATAAGCCTTTCAGAGTTTGCCAATATGTCTGATGATTAAAGACATTAGGCCAAAATGAATCCTTTATCTTTGCTTTTATAGTACAGGAACAGTTACAAGAATAGAATTTATCCATTAACCAAACAAAATGTTTCTATAAATCACTGTATTAATTGCTGAGTTAAAGGCTGTGCCAGTATCATCATAAGCAAACAAGGGATGTTGCCAAAAAGAGATGTGTGCTCAGTTGATTTACCATACCAATGTGTTTGATTTCAGCCTTAGTCAAAATGGGTCTAGAGGACAGACTCATTCTTCTGATCACTTAATTTTGACCTATTAATACCAAGACAATCAATTCTATTTGATTTTTCCTGTTCTTATAATATTTCTGTTCTTAGAACACTGTATATGGTTTGGGGCCTTACAGGATGGAAAAATGTGTGAATCTAATTAATATCTTTTTCCATTTCTATCTGGTTCTGTTGTTCCTGTACATCCTTGGGCTTTTGCTGAGTTTGAGAATAGTCAAAGTTTAATAGAATTCCTTAATCTTCAATTAAAATCCTAAGAAAGGCTTTTCCAATTGGCTGAAGCTGACACACTAGAAATAGCAGGTTTTTATATATACATTTAAAAAAAATCAGGATTATTTGGAAATTTAATGAAAATCAGACCATCTTCTGAAATATTGGCCTACCTTTTGAAGATACTTTGCTGTCTCCTCAGATTTCTGAACCTTTAGGGCTTCAGCAATGACATCTCTATCCTCTAAAGGGAATAAAGTCAAATTCAATCTGAAATAATTTTATCATGATTTTACAATAACATTGATATAAAATAGGATAAGGGCTAATAGGTAATACATAGAGTAGGAAGGTAAACATACATGCTGTGTCATGAAACATTATAGACCAGATTCATAAATAATTGGAAACTGAATTAATTAGCTGGGGTGGATGAGTAAGCCTGAGTCCAGAGACAAAAAAAGGTCTCCAAAGAAAACATATCAGAGATTTCAATTTCTATATTCCTATTCAACCTATTATAGGAATTTAGGCATTTTGTTCTGGATAAATAGGGAAGTCCCTGAGGCAGGGTCCTAGGTATGCAATTCAGAAAGTTATGTCAAAGTGTAAAGTTGTACCTCCGTACTTACTACCTATTTTCTGAAAAACCTAGGAGTCAGGATGTTGAAAGGCATAAAACTTGGTACTTACTGCCATCCTCAAGGCGAAAAGACTGGGATTGATTTTTCTCTAAAAAATACAAAAGGAAAGTAAAGAACTCATTGGACATAGTACAACATTAAAGGTATTTGAATTTTCTATACCTATAAAAATTGCATGATAACTGTTTCCACATCCGAGGCATCACTAAAGGCTACCAGGTCAGGGAACTTGGTTCCTAATATTGACGCCGCCTTCAACTCTCTCTAGGGCTTCCATGTTTAAATTCAGTTATATAAACTACTTTTCTTAATGTCCTTTCAGCCAACATATAACATCGCCTCAGATTATTCTATACTGTTTACCAGATAGATGCCATAATTTAAGGGATACTTAAGATGTATTTTTTAAATGTAACAAATATACCACTGATTCTTTTTGGGTGGAGGGATTGCTGGGAATGTTCAGGAACTATATATACCTAGTATTAATTATTTGTATATACCATTCAGACATTTGAAATGAAAGATTCTTATTTAGTTGGTTCTGGCGGAGGCAGATGTCACTAGCAGGAGGCAGCTACTTTACTCACCAGACACACTGCTCTTACAGGGCCCCGCCACCGACAGCCGCTGACTGCTACCTCTGCACAGCACCAGCTGACTTTCGTTAGGAGGATACATCGACGCCGAGACCCAGAACTGCTTAGCCAAGTTGGCGTCCTCTTCTGAGGAGCCGGCGAATACCAGTAGTCCCGGGGGGCAAACTTCTTGGGACTCCTTTCGGCCGCCAGGACCTCCGCTGGGTCCCGTTTCCATGGCAACTCAGGACGCTTCCCCCAGCTCTCTCGCCCCTCCCCCAGCCCCGCCCCTCCGAGAACCGCCAAGTTGGTAACAGCCACAGCCACGCCCTGAAGCCCTCAGTTTCCTCGGTAGGTGTTGGGGTCCAGGGCGCGCTCGTGGGCCATCTGAAGCCCCCTTCTGCGGTGATCACAGGCTTCGGCACCAGTCCAAACCTTGGAGTCGATATGGGAGAGTCAAGACATCAGCTTTGGGTCGTGTCCCGTCCTGTTGGAGGCAGTGGGGGAGCACTTCAGCCTCTTATATACTGAGTCAGCCTCCCTCACCCCGGAAGATAGCTACATAAACTTTAACTTCCTTAGCGCCATCGCCCCAATCCCCTCTCCCAGACCTGACTGCCCGGTGTACAGGACCCGCAATGTCAAAGTTCTGAGGCCTGCGTTGGAGAATTCAGTAGGGCGGCTAAAAGCCTAGCCGGTGGGAGCTAGAGGCCTGAACTGGGCCACAGGTACCCATGTACATAGTTTTAGGGATTTTTTTCCTCCCCGAATCCTTTAAGACAAATCTTAGGGAACAAGCTAGATTTAAATTTTAACTGCATTTAATAATGATTCCCACTAAAAGTTGCCTAGAGTGCAACAGTTGTAAATGATTACTAAAAGAAGGGATCTATCTAATGAGTGGACCAAGTCCCTTCTAGTCCTTTCAAATTATGAAAAATTTTGTTAATGTTTTCTTATAGAAGTATTATCCTGTGTGTGTGTGTGTGTGTGTGTGTGTGTGTGTGTGTGTGTACAGCTTTCCCCGGAGATTTTGTTAAGGTAGGAACAATTTAACCATTTCAGCGATAGAAAAGTTGTAATTACTGTGGCAGGAACTGAGATGGACAACATAAAGCCAATCTAGGAAAGGAAGTGGTCACATGACAATAACTACAATTTATGTTTTTAAGGCACTTTATTCTTTCAAAATATTACTAACAATATAATATACAGAGTTCAAAGTTGATAATCACAAGTACATATAACAGATTAGCTAAGAAAAAATATCTTATTCCCCAACATATCTAAATCTTTTTTGTTAAAAGTCTGAAGGAATATTGACAAATCTGTATATACACATTCATACATGTAACATACATTGTATATTTAGTAGCTAAAACGTTGATGATTCTCTTGGCTGAACACTTGATTACCAGGCCATGGATGACATCAGCATATTCCAATATCCCTCTCCCCCAAGCACATTGGCGATGCACAGGCAGCTCATTTGGATGAATTCCCAAATCTTTTTACCTGGCCGTGTGGTTAGTGATTGGTACTATTAGCAATCAGCTAACTACACTGCCTAGTAACTAGACTCACAGAAAACAACTGCTGTCTCAAGTTGGTGCCCCCTCACGTTGTGACAGGCAAACCACCGGTTAAGTTGTAGCTCACTTTAGTTGCTGGCGTGGTGAATACCCTACTAAATAATGAAAAATAGGCACAATGAATCACAGCATACAGTATTAACCGTTACAAGGGATTTCTCCAAGCAGTTGCAATGTCTTTAAATCTTAAAGCCATTAAACTCCACGGATTTCGCTTTCCTGGCATGAGATTGTTTCATCTTCTTTTACTGCTTGGCGATAGCTAACAATTTCACTCTACCAGGAGAAAGTTTCCGAGGGTTTACTGGCACTTTGGCAACGCGCTCGCGGAGCGGCGCAGCGCGGGTCAAACGCGACGCATCGCATCGCAGACGCAGCCGTCTCCGCCCAAACGCTGCCCGGCGGCCGAGCGGCGTCCTCCTCCTGGCGGGCGGCGGGTGATGCTGTGCCTTGTTTTGATGGCAGTGGAGTTAGTGATTGTAAGCACCACAGTACAATCAGCTAATTACACTGCCTACAAACCGAGCACCGGGCGCCCGCGGCTGCCGCTCCCGGACGGTCCGCAACGCCGACGCGGTGTCCCCGAGCCTGCGGGCTGCCGGTCGGGGCCCGCCTCGGCCCCCTGCTTCCCCCGGGGCGACGCACGGCAGTGGCTGGGCGCGAGGCCAGGGCGAGGGGCCCCCGAGGACACCTCCAGGCCTACCGGGCACCCTCGCCGGCCGCGCCGCGCCCCGACCCCAGGTGACCCCCGGGCCTCCCCTTCCCCGCAGTCTCCCGCACCTCGCAGGGCCCTCCCGCTCACGTTCCCTTCCCGGTCCTGTCCCCTTCGCTTCCCCGGCCCCGACTCCCACTTCCCTCACGCCCGGCCCGACCCGCCTCAGAAAACTTCTCTTCAGTTCCCAGCCCAAACCCTAGAGCCGGCTCTGTCAACCCCGTGCGCCCCGCAGCTCCGAGTGGCCGAATGACCGTGGCCGTGGCTGGCCAACCGCCCTTGGAACCCCGCGGACCGGGAGGGGGGGGCGGGGCGGGCGCAAGATGGGACGGTGGGGGAGGGGCAGCATGGGGGAGGGGAGGAAGCTGCGAGAAGGGGCTGTGGGCGGGCCCCTGTGGGGCCTCCAGGGAAGAGGCCTAGGAGATGGAAGCACAGATTCTTGAGAAGTTTCTCTTCCTGATATAGCAGGAGGGGCACAGAGCTCCTCCCCTTCCCGGTTCCCCAAGAAACTTACAAGCCCACCCAGTTTTCATGCCCATTCAGTATTGTAGGTTTGAATTTTCCAAGTGGAGGTAGGCCTGGGTAGTCTGTGACTTGCAGGAGGACTGCCTTTGAGAGGCCCATCTGCACCCTTGCGGTCTGCTGGGGACTTGGTCTTATACTCGTAGGGGGCCATGCAGTGGGGTGAAGGTTGGATCTGCTAGTCAAATAATGAGCTAACCAGCTTGTTAGATAGATCAAAGTGTGGTGGTCCTCTGGAGATCAAGGCCACAGTTGAGTACTCTCAAGATCAGTCTTCGGCAAAATTATTTATTTAAATACCTGATATACGCTAAGCACCTAGGTCTCTCCTTCTATTAATACCTTCACATGTGCAATCTAGGTCGTGACACAAAGCAAACAGACATTATTTATCATTCAAGACAGTACATAATAAATTACTAAACTGGGTAGGCTTAACTGATAGAAATAGAAAGGGGCCCATCAATGAGAGCCATAATAGGTCAGAGAAGGTTTATGGAGGTGAGACTTGAGTGGATCCTTGAAGCAAGAGTAAATTTGGATATTCAGGGTGAGGCCTATGGAGGCCGGAGAAACAATGTCTTGTGACAGTTATATTTTCCTGTTATCACAGTTCCATGTCTGATAATGTAGATGTGTTTGTGTGTATTTGGGGTAAGTTGGGCAAAGGGGACAGTTCCAGAGGATTTCTGGGAGCTCTCTACTAATAATTCCTTCCTTTGGTTACCCCTTCCCCTCCTTTCCTTTAATGAATCAATCAGGAGAGGATAGATTATCCTCACTTTATGGAACTCATTGGGAAATTCGAGTAAAATCTGATCTTCGTGTACCCGGTCTAGAGTACTCATTGTTTACCAGGAAGGCTTAGTTCTAAATTATTTTCCACAAAAGAAAACTTCCCAGCCATAGGTTGATTCTCTAAAAGCAGCAAATGGTCTTACAAATGTCACTAGTAACATGAATAGGGGCAGGTAATCTGGATCATTCAACACAAATTCCAAACTCACACTATTAAAACACCAGAACTTCCCAAGGATATTTAAGTTATAGCATTATCTTTGCATATGAAAGACAGCACTTTTTTTTTTGCCAAATGCATACCTTAAACACCAAAGTGAAGAGAAGGAAACCAAAGTATAAAATGTACAGTACAAAAATTTTAATTATAGAAATTAATTTGTAAAATTAAATTATAAAAGACAGGTCATTTACAAATAACTATATTTTATATTCATCTTATCTTTGGGATAGGCACAATGTTGTAGCACATGTTGTATAAATCACACTCACTTAAATATACATGTATAAATAAAACCAGAAGTGGTTCCATTAATAATATGCAGAGTTATAAATCTTGGTTAGGATGTAAAAACAATTCTGTCCTTTCAAATTGTTACTCGTTTTTACCCAGTACAAAATTTAATTATTCCCAATTGATGTTTTTTGATTATTAGTTGCATCTTAAATATCTTACCTCAGCTGGATTACTGCCATCCACGTTGCATTAGATGCCTTGAATATTAGGTTTTTTAAAACTTTCTTCAAAGGCAATAAAAAATAAGGAAAACTCAAATATAAAAGTCATCAAGATGCATTGCCTACTGAAATAATTTTTTAAAAATGCAGTTTATTTTGTGTGTAGTACAACTAAAAAATAACGACCAAAAATGTGTGTGGCCCAGTTCTATTTGGAAAAAAAAAAAAAAAGAATGCTTGTTCTTAGGGTTGCTGTTGATTTGGCCTGCAGTTACTAGAGAAACTCCAAGGATCTCATTCCCTTTATGGTTCATGTCTAGGCATGCCTGGAGACCAGGGAGACCCATGATTTAATCTAAGTAAGAATGCTTGTAGTGTTTTAAATGCCCAAACAGAAGATTGCATTTGTTTTAGATAGTACCAGGAAGGCACCTTTCAGGGGAATTGTTTACTGTTTTAATTTTTGGGCTTTTGGTGATCAGGGAGATGGGAAAAGGAGCTCTGAGGAGAGGAGGTGAGGTTGGTGATTAGGAGGAAACCAAGAAGAGTATAGAAAACAAAATACCTTCTACTTTAGCTCTGGCAAATTTATATTGGCTTAATTTACCACTCCTAGATACAAGACTAGAGTGATGGGAATTGAGAATTGTTAATACAAAAGGTGGGGACAAAATACTCCTTCCCTTCAACACATGTAAACACACCATCTGAACATTTCCTGTCTCCTACAGCTTTTGAAGAATGTTGTTAAGGGAGGAAGAAGTGAAGAATCAGACTGATTAGAAATTACTGGATTTTAGCAGCTTCTTTTTAAACCTGTTTTTTAAATGTGTATTTTCTCTTAGGAAATATAAAATCATATTTTGGTTTTTATAGAGAGCAATAAATGTCAGATTACCTTATTAACATTCATGATAGTATACTTAGGGAACAGTT